TAATTTATATTACCAGGGATAAAAGTAACTGCTGCATGACACCAAATTCCCCCGTATATGTAAGGACAAGAATAGATACAAGATGCATTTGGTAAGGGGCTCAATCAACGTTTGTTTAATGAATGACTTCAATTTGTAATTTTCCTTTGGAATTCTGAGTTCAGAGAAATTCTGTCACAGAGAGATCTCTACTGTCTCCAGCCATATGATATCAATCAAAGCACCTGGTGTAGCTAAAACACATTTCCATCTACCTTCTTACACCATGTGAACATCGTGTTACCTTAATTAGATGCTATATATTAAAATGCTTTTTGGATAATAAAATGATGTACTAATAAAAGAAACTAATGTTGGAAGCATCTGGGAAACTGGAGCTAAAGAGAGTAACAAAATTAACAATGCATCAGAAATTAAGAGTTCCAATTTTTCAACGTTGCTATGAGGCTCATGAAAGACAATTGAATCAGTAGTCCTATGCACACAGCACAATGTCTGGTGCACATCTTAAGCACTGGGCAAATGCCAACTCACATGCATTGTATTGTAGCATCTGAATTACATACAAGTAAAAAAGGAATATTCTACCCATTCTCCCCCCATCCCCATCATTAGCTATCAGTAAGAAACAGAAAACATGAAAAACTAGCAGTTTAAGTCTTGGTTTTTTAAATGTTCAAAATAAATAAATTTTTTCTTGCTATTTTATTTGTTGACATGAGCAAATTGAGCAAAGGAGAGAATGTGTTAGAGTAAGAAAAAGTGAGTGAGAGAAAGAAGAAAAACTATGAATCAGCAAAATACAGAGCTCTGGACCAAGAATCAGAAGGTCTGGGCTCTAATTCTTTCCATGTCATTGGTGAGTCATGTAACCCATCTAAATCTCAGCCTTATTTTTTTTTCACTTGTAAAATGAAGGGATTAAGCTTTATTATTTCTAAGGCATTATGTCAGGAACCTTCGAAGATAGCTCCCAGTGATCCCTACCACTTAATATCCCTGCCTTTGTATAATCTCCTTCCTTTGTAAGATATGTGGACTTCCACACTGGCTAACATTACCCAAATGCTTACCAATACATTGTTACCAATGGCATCCATGGTTAGACTTTAAAGAGTTTCTGATGTGGATAAATGATGTGCCAAGCAACAGACTCCCAACTACACAGCATTCTCAACAGGCTGTGCACTCAAGGGGGTGCTAAAGGAGGTTAAATTTGAGTTCTCATTCATTGGATCACCCAGTTCATCCATCCTGTTTATTCCATTTTATAATTTGAGTCACATTAAGAATCACATTATGAGCAATTTCTGTGTGCCCAAGATAGGCTTAATTAGCACAAGTTTCACTGCCTGTCTTTTCCTAGAACCTTAATGTCAGTAAACCTGTTTTTTTTTTTTCCCCATCTGAAGGATTTGTTCATCACTTGCCAAAACAGCAGCTAACTCTCTGTCAAACTGCAGCTCCTTTGGTTAAAGTGAAAACTGAACAAAGACCTGCTATCATTTTTGAGGTGTGATTTCTTAAGCATTTTTTCTTGTAATTGATTTTTAAACTATAGTAATTTAAAGGCCTAGTTGGAAAAGGCAGCTCTTAACACTAATATGCTAAAATTTTCCTGACTGATATGAAAGAATAAAACAAAAGAAAGACACAGCCATCTTTCAGTCAGTCCAAGAAAAAAGGCACAGCGTGTTTTTTACATCTATCTATGTAAGTCTATTTTTTAAACTAAAATAGGTTCTATTTTCTTTCCTTGATTACTTAGCTCTGGATATGCTATGATAATAAAGGTGGGTGACTATAACTCCAAACCACTTAAACAACATGTGTAATTGCCTCTGTCATGTAAGAAATGCCTAGATTCTTCTCTGCTCTGACTTCAGCAATATCCTAGCAGCTGCTAGCAACCCACATTAAAGAACTGAATAGAACGATCAGTCAGTACTACCGATAAGTGGCAGGATGAGGGCCCTGGGGTCAAATATGGATTTCCCTCATGGTCATAGTCTGTTTCTGCTGCCCTCCACCCTGTTCAGATATTGCCTTATTTTTCCAGAACACTTTATTGTGTAGGAAGTGCTGACTGCAGTTCTTTGATTATAACATTCTGTTTAGAAACAAAAGGGAGCTAGGGTATAAATAAGTCTTCTGCTTTTCTTCTCAAGTATCTAAACCTAGTTTGTCCTTAGGCTTTAGATAATCAGGTTCAGTAATTAAACTACTAGCAAAGGAATGGCTTTCTATACATTTATGTGGCCTTGATAACTTGTTGAATATGCAGATAATTCTTCTCTGTAACCTGCTGATGAGAAAGGACCTTGGACTAATGGAGGGGGGGAGATGTTTTCTTGCAACAAGAGAAAGATGGTTCAACAATTGATTCTTCTCCTGTTCCTTGACATAATTCTTCTCTGTAACCTGCTGATGAGAAAGGACCTTGGACTAATGGAGGGGGGGAGATGTGTTCTTGCAACAAGAGAAAGATGGTTCAACAATTGATTCTTCTCCTGTTCCTTGACGTAAAGAGAGTTGAATTTAGAGATACTTTCTTTTAATTCTACTGCACGCTTTCTTCTGTTACAATCGCAAGGTGTCAGAGTAAAATCACAATGCTCACGGGTCCCCAGATAAGCAAATATTCCCTTTACGAGCAATTCCAGGCTACTGGGAAGCTATGATGTCAGAAACTTGTCTTTACCTGTTTCTGAAAAACTATTATATTAGTAGTGATTGATTTAAGAGCTTCCTGGCTTAATTTTCTTACCTCTAACCATGCGACCACCGTAGGCCCATCCCACTGGGCAAAAGGTAATCCCTTTCTCCGAGCTTCTTCAAGAAGTTCATGCCTGAAGTATTTAGCAAAGATTATTAGTCAGGTAATATGGAAAAAAGGTGGCTGTGATTAACTAATGATCCTTTACAAGCTTTTTTAAAAAATACAGAATGACAGAATTCCTTCTTCCTTTGAGTGATACACACAAATCACCCAGTGAAATATTGACACCTAAAAATAATTTCCCCCAAAATTTATTTACTAAAATTCAAACATTAAGTGTTAATCGGCTAAAAAGCTGATGTATATTATCAGCAAATATCTTATTTACTTAACAAAAAAATGACCCACATATTCATATTCAAGCATACGTTATAGGATCTAAACATAGCGACTTGCATCTGCCCTGCTTTCTTCCCCTTGTTATCTCAATGGTAGAGAAAATGCTTGTATGTAGAAGCAAAAGAAAAATGTGGTCGTTTTAGCCCTATTCCAGTGTTGTGCTCAATTTTAGTATGCCCTGTGGGCCCAGGGGCCTATCTTAAAGTTAATTTTTTGTCTAGATTATAAAACCACTTCTCATTTAAAGAGAACTCTCTAAGGTAAGCTGATTTTCAACACTAGAAAGCAATGCGAATTGTGAAATTCAACAATACATTTAATTTGAATCACTATTATTTTTAATAAAATGTAACACCTCAATGACAATAAAATAGTTGTTTTTGATAACAAAAGATGTAAAGAGCCCTGACAAATGCATTTATAATTTCATTGTCCCTACTACTAAGCCTGTAGTAGTAGATTTCCCTACTAACAGTACTTACAAATCACATTTGAGGTCATTCATTATTGAGATATCAGATAAGTGTTTTTATTGAAACTTAAATTGCTACATACCTATACCTGGCCAGGACTATATAAGAAAATAAATTTTCTGTATCTTAGTGTGCCTTAATCTTACACACAAATGATCAAAACACAGTATAATAATTGCTTTATTCTAAATACGTATCTTTCATGATTAATACAGTATTATGAATATCATATATGAACTCCCAAAGAAGCACCTAAATGTTCTCTACTATTAATTAATTAGTCATTTATTGTGGTAGACTATATTAATACATTAAAATATATCATCAAAAATGAATGTACAAGGGCTTTCTGTGTTTGCAATAAATGCTACCAACAAAACTGCATGACAAAAAAAGCTAGGGGGCAAAACAAAAATTGAAGTGATATTAGCTGAAGAGACACATAAATCAATTGCTATTGCAGTTGAGGGGACAGCTTTGGTAAGTTCTGCATCTAAGCTATTCGGCACCAGGGGAAGGTGACAGTGACACTGGTTCCCTGAATCTAAAATGAAAAGTATAATTGCTTCCTAACCTGGCTTGCTCTACCACCACCCATTTACTAGGGCTTTCCAGTGACATCCCTTCATTGAAAACCAGTGGAATAGCTTAGTCTCACTGTGACAGCTATATTTAGAGCAACAGATTGAAAGATCAAAAAACCAATCATCAGGTATTTATTGAGCACCTGTTGTGAGCTGAGAATTGAGCTCAGTGTGGAAATAAAGACCTGGACTCAGTTCTCCAAGAGATCCCTTGTTAGACAGACAAAACAAACACATGAAACTATCCCAAAATACAATACGATGCCAAGCAGCTGCTAAAACTCGGTGATGCACATTCTGAATGAGAGGACGTTGGAAAAGTGGGTAATAGCAATAGAAATAGTTGGTGAAGGCTTTGTAGCAACTGAGCTGGCTTTGAAGGGCAGGTGGGAAAAAGATGGGGATGGCATTCCAAGCAAGATAAGCAGTCATGGTGGAAGTGCAGAGGTAGAACTTAACATGAAATACATGCAATAAAATTTAAAATACGCCTTCACAGAGCTGAAGCATGTTGTAAGAGCTGTAACATTACAACAATAGGGAAAGGATGTTTCTAGTTATGTAATGGGTGAGTGCCATTAAATGGAAAGAAGCGAATATGTACCTGCAATTTTTTTTGCTTCATTTAATAAAAAGGAAAGTAAATTTGCTCTGATAGCCTAGGAAGCACATAACATTTTAACAAGTAAATTATATGAGTTGTACAAAAGTGATTTTTAAACATTAGAGCACTTTAATTTTAAAACTTCTGACTAGTTCCCTAATAAAAATTGCATCAGGGGCCGACCCTGTGGCTCACTCGGGAGAGTGTGGCGCTGGGGCTAGTTCCCTAATAAAAATTGCATCAGGGGCCGACCCTGTGGCTCACTCGGGAGAGTGTGGCACTGGGGGCGCCGAGGCCACGGGTTCGGATTCTATATAGGGATGGCCGGTGCACTCACTGGCTGAGCGCGGTGCGGGCGACACCAAGCCAAGGGTTGCGATCCCTTTACCGGTCACACACACACAAAAAAATTGCATCAGAAAAGCCAGAGTGATCCTGTTTAAACTTGAGTCTGATCATGTAACTTCTCTACTCATAAATCTCCTTCATTCTCTGTCTCATTGAGAATAAAAGCCAAAGCAGCAGTTAGGATCTACATCATCTCTTTGACTCAACTGCCACCTCATCCAGCAACAGTGGCCTAATTTCTGTTCTTTGGAAACAGCACAGCTCTCTTTCTGCCTCAAGATCTTTGCAGCTGGTGATCTCTCTGTCTGGAATGTTTTTCCCCTCTATCTCCACATGGCTCACTCCCTAGCCACTTTAAATCTTTACCCAAATGTTACCATCTTTCTGATTATCTCCTCTCCTATTTCCTCCAACTCCCAGCAGGCCATTTTTATCCCCAAAACTTGCTTTATTTTCTCCACAGCATTTACCTTCTAAAATAGCATATCATTTACTCCTCAGCCTGTTATCTGCTAATAGAATATAAGCTCAAGGACGAATTGTGTTTTTATATATTGTGCTCAGAGATGAATTTGAATCCAGAACAGAGTCAGGCACAGAAGCAGTACTCAGTAAATAGTTGTGAATGTTGAAAAATACGCCAGCCAGTCTTTATATTTAGGTGCTTTTTGGTTCAGTAAATTGTGTCACATAAATTTTTCATTTTTGTTTGTGTGTGTGTGTGTTTTGTTTTGTTTTGTACTGCAAATATCTTTTTCTATTTCATCTTAAAGCCATGTTCAAATTTTTATGTTTTTCTTATATCCTTCAACCTTTGAGCTTTTTTATTTTTCTCTTTCTCTGAATAGTACTGGGTCTATCCAGTCCCAAGAGTCTGATCTTCTTTGGGATCCTTGATGGGAATCTGGCAAAGAGGTAACCCAATGTGCTCTAAAAGTTCTATTCTCTTTATGAACAGAAATATTAATTATAAAATTGCTTGAGAAATTATTGAGAATCTGATCCCTGTAAAAGTTTTCTTTATTTTTGTTTTGTTTATTTTGTTTTGCTTAATTCACAAACCCTAATAACAATAATTTTAGTAACAGTATTCAAAGAAAATTAGGTAAGGGAGTCCAAGTCCAGTGGATTCTTCCCTTTGGTTCCAACATCTAGGGCTGAATCTCAAGTGGAGGTCTTAAAGGTGACACACTTGAGACTGTGTAGAAACAAGCCAGACCAGAGTGGATGGCTAAGGTGTACATCAGTACTGTGTGCTACATCACAGAAACTCCAGACCTGCTTTTCCTTAAACTGAGGGAAGTATTAATTATGGAAAAATGAAAATTCATTGAAATTTCCAAAGCAATATTGCACTTAATTGTTGTCAATTATAAAATAAGATGCGCCATACAAAATTTATAAGAGGCATATACGTTGGCATGTTGGCTTGGGAGAGAAGTAATGTTAGAAAAACAAAGCAGTGTGGGCAATGAGATAATAGTTTGGAATCACAGTTTAATATATGGTTATTTGCTAACAGATTATTAAGGGCAGCATTAATTATACAGAGGCATGATTGTTGTCATCAGAAATTTTGAAGTTGCTGCAAAAAAAAATAGTGACTTGAAATATTGAGAAAATACTAAATAAAATCTGATTTGGGACAAACAAGCATTTTGATATATTGGTGTTCTCTATTCAACTTGTCCATGTGTGGAAATGAATTCAGACTGGAATGAATTCTCTCTGTACCTGGACTTAAACATTTTTAAAGGTCAAGTGACAGTTCTTCCCAAATGAGACTGTGACTACTCGCCCCAGCACAAATTTGACTCTGAAAATTACTATCTTTTTATTCAGGCCTGAAGAAACATTTTTGTTTTTCTTTCTTTTTGTTTTTGTCTTCTCAGGTAATCTAATATTTGACCATCTTTTCCCAAAGGATCACTTCCATGAGGGTACTTCAAAAAGTTTGTGAAAATTATAACCGAAGATAATATGAATCTTTCCATGAACTTTTTAAAGTACCCTTGTACATCACTATAGTTATGGGCACGAATTTTAATTTTAAAATTTGGACTAGATTTTAGAGGACATCAGTAGCACTTCCTTTTAGAGGAAGTGTCAGAAACAGACTTGTCTTTACCTGTGTGAAAACTCACAAAAAAGAAAAGTACTAATTGTAAGGGAAGGTCATTTTGAATCAGTAAAACTTGTGAATTGTGTATTTTCAAGAAACACATTCTCATCTGCAATAAAAAATGCTATTAATATCCTCCAAAGGCTCAGACTCTCTTGCTATGGGTGTCAACATGTTACTGTGACTGGAAAGTGACATGTTAGGAAGGCCCAATACATGATGAGCACTCCGGTTTGTGAATAATCTGCACCGCCATACATGAATGTGCAGGGGATCCCGTGCTTGCTATGCCTGATCTGAGGACAGGAACACACAGAGGTGGGCACCCTAGAATGACTGGACTAAAAATTTCTAGATAAAGGAGCCAGAGTGTCTAAAAAATATAAATAAATCAGGAGCATTTGCCAGGCTTCTAACTTCTAATCCAGGCTAATTAAGCAGGTATGACTTTGCTTAAATGACTAAATCCAAATGGAAGAGTCCAGTTCCTCCTTCTTAGGCTTTATTTGTCTCCTCAACTATTGCAGTTGTGACCTGATGGTGGAGTATGGGGAGGGGGTTGTAGCCCTCCTTTTGCATTTGCAAGCTATGTTTCTGCCA